TCAGTCGCGCGCTGCCCAAAAAGAAGACGAGGAACTAGAACAAGAACAAGAAGAGGAAGAGAAAACGCACATCCTCGAGGGAATGCCCGTCGTCAGGCCGGCGTCCGTCGCGCGCTGCGCATCTATTTGGTTGGGAAGGGTGCGTACATCTTCGAGCGAATGGCCGTCGTCAGTCGCGCGCTGCACGAGAATCGCCCAATCCGCGTCCCATTGCGCGGGCTCGAGCGCTCGCGGGGACCCCTGCGCTTTGTAGTGGGCTAGGGTCGAGCTGGAACACGCCAAGGCAGTCACCTCGGACAGTTGGCTTCGGCGTCCGCGTGACCGGTCACGCGGGCGTTCACGTTTCGCGGGCTCGAGCGCTCGCGGGGACCCCTGCGCTTTGTAGTGCGCCTCCTTCGCACGTTGCCACCTGCGAAGGGAACACATTAACCCCAAACCCACTCCTTGGTCGGGACCCTCCTCGAATCCACGCTAGTTCGCACGTGGTGTGGGACTACGCTGCCCCTGCGCTTTGTAGTGTGCCTCCTTCGCCCTCTGCCACCTACGTCGCACTCACAACTTCGTCAGAAACCTACACATATACGAATAGCAGCTTACTCATTTAAGAACCTACTCATACATGGAGGCTTCGAACCCCTGCACCTTGGAATGCTCTGCGCCCCCGCTCATGCCAGTCGGAGGCATCGCTCGCAGACCGGACGTTTCGAAGGCAGGGGCAGCCTCGAGTTCTGTCCCAGTCTATGTGTGCTCACCAATTTCTTTCAATGGGGCTCTTTTCCGGGCCAAAGTAGACAAGTTTGGAAGGCAAACCCAGCATGTCAACTTGAGAATAGTCTGACTGTCAACCCGAGTGGGGCAGAGGAGGGGGGGCTCTAGCTCTGCCAAGGTAAAACTGGGCTCGCCATAAACCAGATTTCACGCAGAAACCCCCGTACAAAAGGGCAACTAAAATGCTGACGGCGAGCCAAGTTCTACGCAGGCAGAGGTTCGACTTGGGGTGGTGGCAATCGTACAGGGGTACCTCGCTCATAAGAACCCCCCACCCCCCCTAGGACCACCACAGGGCCCTAGGCATTGGCCTACTGCAGGGTCCTAGAGGGCGGCGCTGTCTCATTAGCGAGGTACCCCTGCAGTTATCGTAATTGGGGTGGTGGCACTGGTGGGACCTCTGGCGGAAGACGGCGCCGGCAGAGCCTGCCATGGTGAACGCGAGGGCCTTGCGCACGGTGCCCTTTCGGTCGTGGATCCCTGCTCAACACGCCGCGGTTTCGCGTTCAGGGTTTCAGGTTTCGCGTTCAGGGTTTCGCGTGTCGCGTTCAGGGTTTCGGGGTTTGGGTTTAGCGTTTGGGGTGCAGGGGTTGGGATTTAGTGTTTGGGGTTTCGGAGTTCGGGTTCAGTGTTTGGGGTGCAGGGGTTGAGGGGTTCGGGCACGGATACCGGCGATCGCGAGGGATAGGGCGTGCAGCAGGCATTTGCCGTCCTGTCGCGGTTCAGGGTTTGGGGTTTAGGGTGTAGGGTTTAGGGTTTAGGGTTTAAGGTGATGCGCACTCCACTCGTTGAACTCCCCCGTGGCCAACCGCGGTTATATTTATGATAACCGTATTTCTATTTATTTATATTTACGCCATCTGACGGCGTCCAACGACTGACCAACTAGCCACACAGTTTTCTGGCACTAACCATGCCCGAATTTGTTACCGTCCCCGCACACACCCCGCCGGGTTCAGTCAACAGTACGAGTCAACAGTAGTGGGCCTCCCATGGAAGAGAGCTTCCACGCCAGACCTTCGAAGGGTGCCGAAAGTCAATTGGAAGCCAAAGTCAATTCGTGTGTGGATGGGGAAGCCCCGCTGGAGGGGGGGACGATTGGTGAGGGGTGGGGCGGCCTGTTCAGTGCAACGCACCCCACCAGCCATGCGAGGCGGACCAAATCGACGATTGTTTGGAGCCATTTCCTCGGGTGGCACATTCGAATTCGCAGGTGCCGCCCGAGGAATGAGCGCATGCTCCAGCCTCGATTTGGTCCGCCTCGGAGGGCTGGTGGCCGGTTGTGGAGGGGATAGCACCGGTGTGGCCACCAGCATCCTGGAAAGCTTATTTCGGGTCTGGGACCTTGGACATCCATTCCGTAGCACCCTACGGTAGCACACCCCCAGGGACCTAGGGTTTCTCTAGCGGGATGAACAGAAAGCGTGTACACTTCAAAGTGGATATCCTGGGGTGGGGGGGCGGTATTCGAAAACCGATTTTAAGCTGCTGCGGGTTGTTGATGCGGAGGGGATAGCACGGTGTGTGCACAGACAGGAGAGCAGATAATACAGGGTTTCTAGCTCTGCCTGAGTGACGCTGGTCTCATCAAAATGGAGACTGGACGTTACTTGCCCGGGGCTGTGGTGCAAATCCGTCCACTTTTGGTGCGATGACTATCAGTCAACCCGTCCGAGGCAGAGCTGGGTGTAGGAGTAGACCGACTGAGTCAGAGGTGGGTGTAGGGATTGACCGGCGATCAGGCCTACGCCCCTACGGTAGGCAACCCGTAGGGTCATAGGGGGGTTCCTACTGACAAGTGGGTGTAGGGGTTGACCGAGGCGGTGTCAATGGCGATGAGATCGGCGGGCTGGGGCAAAACGGCTCCAACTCCGTCGCGCATCCCCGACGCGGCGCGCGCGGAGTAGGAGGGTTCCTCCTTGTCAACTTCTGCGCATAAGTTGACGCATAAGTTGACGATGGCTTGTTCGCGGAAGATGCGCTCCAACGCCTCATCGCGCACCGCCTGCCAGAGCATCATCTGTCTCAGACACCCTGGATTGGGCGCAGTCCATTCGGCCTTCGTGAGGCGATTTGGTGGGCCAGGGCTCTTTTCCGCTGCAAAGTTGACGGATTTGTGCCGCAGACCCAGCATGTCAACGTGGGAATCGTCGGTCAACCCCGGAGAGGCAGAGCTAGGCAGGCATGCGGTCAGAAGAGAGCCAACGCGCCTAGAGCGCGGTGCGTCAGTCCTCCTCACCGCCGCCCGTCACGGGTCCCACGGTCGTCATGAAAGGACTCGCCCAGTGCTGTCCAGGGGATGGTCTTGGGCACGCGCGTGTTCACGGCCACCTTATAGAGTTCACAGGAACCTTGCAGAGTAGGGGGGGGGCGCTTTCTTATGCGTGAGGTAGCCCTGTAGCTCTGGCCCTGCCAGGTTGTTTAATTCATCAGTACACTCTAGTGTATTACGAGGAAAATGTATGAAATTGCATCGGAGGAGGTCAACAAGAGCGGACACAGAACAGCGGACATCCATGAGAAGGTAATCTCTCGCCTTAACCACTTGGCCAGCCGTGCAGATTGGCTCCGTGACCAAAAGGGACGTGGAGACTCCAGGGGGTATATCTTCTCTAAATCAATGCGTGGCGGGTCACGCACCGCTTCGACAGCGGGGTTGGCCGGGCATCCGAACGAGGCCTTGCCCAGGGAGGCCTTGAGAAAGGCAGAATCGCCGTCCTCGAGCTCGAGCGCATTCTCGCGGAGCGCCAAGAGCCTCGCTGTGAGTGCGAGATCGGCACTGCTGAACCTTCTTCGCATGGCGGGCGGCAGGGCTGCGCCTGGCGACACGCCCACCGGAGGTCGCTCCCGACGTTCAGCCAGGTGACATGGACGATGCGAAGCGCCCGCCGCCCCCGCCAAGGAGATGGTGAGAGAGAGAAAGAGAGAGAGCGAAGATAGGCGACTTCCGCGCAGCCCTCCCGGTGTCTAGCGCTGCCCACTGCCCCCCACCAACCAGGTTTAGCGCACGCGGATCTGGCAGATCAGCCTGCGGGCTCCTGCACAGCACGCGTGGGGGGATTGTTGAGGCAGGGGTCACCTTCAATGCGCGCTCACTGGGCTGGAAGCTAAGGCCCACCTGGATGTGTGTCTCCGGCTCGGAAACTTCCGTGTCCGATCCGCCTCCTGCCCGGAAACCAGGCTTGGAGCAGGCCGCTGTGGGACCAGCGCCCGCAGAGCGCGAGAGCCGGGCAGCCTCGGGTGCTCGGTTGAATTTCAGGGAGATCCAAGGGAGATGTATTTTCCCATTGGGGATCTCGAGGTAACCGAGATTTCTTCGATCGTAGGATTTCATCGAAGTTTACCACAGCGAAATTCATGCTGTAGTAAACATGGTGTCGAGTTGACTGATCCATTTATTTTGTCCGATTCATTTCGAAGGAAAAAGGGTCAACTAAGTCCCGTTCCTCACAGGATTCAATTCCGGAATAAACGGGATTACGGCAATAACGGCGATTTTTCGCTTCCTTTCAACCCAATTCCGGGAATGCCGGAATTGACGGGATTAACGGAATTAAGTGGCACGGGTATGAACAAAATTGAAAACCTGTCACAGGTTATGGACTCCGGAAAGCAAAAAGGGCAAAAAGGAAAGCAAAAAGGGCAAAAAAGGAGAGTGGCGCGGGGCAAAAAGCGGGTCTTCTTTTTGTCAAAAGCCGATTCACACACGATTCGGTCCATCTATTTTTCCTGTTTCCCTATCGAAGCCATGATCTTTTGAGCAAAAGGTCCATAACCTGGACTCCTGAAGCCGACAATCCCGTTTTCTCCGTTTTCTCCGGAATTGCAATTTTCCGACTCCGAAATCGGTCCAAACATTTTGTCATTAAAGGGCTTTACAAACGCCTTCGTTTACATGTGTGTTGTAAAATTTGTACCAGGAATTAATTGCCGACTATCTTGTTCTTATGAAAATTGCCCTGTGAGGAATGGGACTAACTTAATGAAACGCGGGCATGCCTGAGGAAAAAGTAGCCAATTTTGGCTCAATAGGTACAAAGAGAGCTGCCCCCGGCGGCGCCTCCCGCGAGGCTCTTGCCAGACGGGCCAGAATGGAACTGGAATGAGGATCATAAGTGGATGGCAAGCCATACAGGTGGATTCCGAGGAACTAATCCGGACCAAAAAGATGTCGCCGTCAGATGGGTCCGAACCCAGGGCCTGCTGCTCACAAGGCAATAATCTTACCACTAGACCAACCGTGCAATGCCTCGTAACATACCAACTCGTTCTGGGAGTCCGAAACAAAATTGACGATATTTGCAACCCATCGTTCCATACAATACCCTGGACTACCCTAACACACACAACCCTCACCTACACTGGTAACCTACTCAACCTGTCATTGCCACCATACGGGGCTGCGCCCGCGTGCGTCCCGACCTACAGCCCAACCCAAACCAACCCTAACATGCACTACAATACCCTACCCTACCATGCATAGGCGGGAAAATATCGAACCAAAACCGCAGCGCTTGACGAAAACCGGGTTAAAAGTCGTTTTTGCCTATTTGAGACGCAACGCTTCGCGTTGGAGCTTCGCACGCTTTTTCTGTTTAAGACGTTGCTGCACCGACACTCGTACAACGTGAAAGTCCTTCCATTCGAAATAGCCGCATATTTGTCACCTGGACCGAGCCAATTCAAAAAGGATCCAAAGTAGATGGACGATAAGAACAGGATGAACATTTCCTGGGTTGCGTACGGGGTTTCAGGTTACGGGCTCATCAATGTCCAAACGCCAAAATTGGCTAATCAAAGACATGCTCTAGTTCAAAAAGAATCGACCTCAGAATCAATTTAAAAGTTCATTCATGGAAAATTCTGAGGCAATTCTTCTCCAAAGTAGCGGGCCTGGATGAGTTGACTCAACCGAGTTTAAATTCCAACTTCGGACTGTATTGGTCACGTTGCCGGAATTTCAGACTGCGCTCCGGGTGTGATAGTCATTTGGCCACACGCAGTCCCACCGCACGGGTGCGCGCCTGGGAATGGTTTGGGGGCACCAACCCCGGCACTTATTGCTGGTCGGGGAACCCCTGCCTAGGCCGCACTCCGTGTCGTCCGACGGTTTCAGAATAAGGCACAGAGACTGCACGGTCGCGGGTCGAGGAGGTGCCTCGGCTCAAGGAACAGTCCACCCCCCCTGGAGACAGGGCCAACCAGCATACATTAGTCCCCGACAAGGCTGGCAACCTGAGCGAGACCCACGCTCCGCATCAGGGCGGCTTATCCCTTATCTGCCGAAAAAGGTACGTGATCATTTTTTTAAGCAGGAATCAGGTGTAGGGATTCCAATTTAGCGGAGGACGGTTTTCCGGGTCTCATAAATCAGGAATTTCTCAGGTCGTTGAGCACCAATT